AGGGATGGAAAAACTGCATAAAAAGCAGCATTGTTTGAACTGCCCTGCTTTCTGCCTTGGCGTCAGCTGAGTGAGGGCGCACCTTAACACATACACAGTGTCACCCACCCATGCCACGAGTTTTGCCTGTCAGCAGCCAGAGGTACAGGGCCCCAGAGCCCAGAAGCCCTGCAGCAATCTCCTTGAAAGCTGGCAGGCTTCATGTCCACAACAGGGGCCACAACCCCTACAGCTTTCACCCTGCTGCGCCTTAACACACACAATGTCACCCATGTCACGAGTTTTGTTTGTCCACAGCTTAAGGTGCAGTTTCCCCCAAAACCCTGCACCCATCTCCTTGAAATGTGGCACCTCCACAGGGGCTACCATCCCTGCAGTTTTGATCCTGCTGTGGCTTAACATATGCACGTGACATGAGATTTTTGCTTTCAAGATTTGAGGTGCAGATTCCCCAAAACCCCTGCACCTATCTACTTGAAACGTGGCAGGCTTCATGCCCTCAGAAGGGGCTACCATTCCTGCAGATTTAGTCCAAATCAGGCCAGAACTGACAAAGTTATAGGCTGTTTTGAGCTTTCCCATTATAGCCTATGGGCGAAATGTCGAAACAGTGAACCTGTTTTGACAAAATGAAACAGAACAGCAGTTTCAAATCTAAATGAAATTTGAAACAAAGCGCTGTTCTGTCAAAACACAAATCAAAACGGAACAGTGCCATTTCGCACAGCCCTAGTGAATAGTCTCCTAAATACAGGAGATAATACTGAAAAGTCAGCATTTTCCAACTACTGGAGTTCACAGAAATATCTTCTATTCTAAACAGAGAAGGAAGTAGACAAAGTCAGATACTACTGTGTGGGTCTGCTGGCAAAGAAGCGTTCTTGACTAGGCACACTCTATGCAGCTCTTTTCTACTTTAAAAGCACCAGATGCATTGTGTGCTGGTGTGACTGGTATTGGAAGTTCAGCACATACAAAAGTCATATAAAACCCACAGTAAGGTCCAGAGTTTATATTAGGGTTGCAGTAATCCATGCACGGTCTTCTGCCAAATGTGTCAATTTTTCCCTTATAGCAGAGCTACTTTGCTCATCAGGCCATATCCTGCATTTTTTTGAGTCACACACATTTCAGGTATTTAATAGAGCAACAGCCACTTGCAGAGAGAAGGAGACTAATTGCAATAACATATCCATGCTATATAAAATTTGTCCAGTACATAAAACCAAAAGCACAATATTCCTTTGCTCTTAGGAGACTGGTAAGGCAGGCTAGTCTGAAATATGACATTCTTCTTTTTATGTATTTGTTTGCATGGAAAATATAATTCCAATAATAACATATAAGTTTATAGAAATATATATAAATATATATTCACCCAGTAAAATTATCCTAAAATTTAAATAGCCCAAAAAAACCATACTTTATTTTACATGATCCCAAAATAAGACATGCACCTTGTTTTTTGGGAAAGCAGAATAAAAAAGAAATAAAATATTTTTTCTAGAGTCATGGCCACATGCACCAAGGACAGATTCTAATTTTCAGCTCACTCACCGTCACTTTCCTATTTAGACACAAGCTACAGTTTTAACTCTTTCACAGCTGAATTGTCATCAGCTCTTGGCCATTCAGCCAAAAGCCGAAACAAGACAACCAAATTGGGGAGGAAAGAGCAGCTTCATGAGTGGAACATCAATACCACTTAAAAGGAGAGGAGTCATTAACACCAATTGAGTAAACTTTTGGGGAAGGTGCACGTGGTATGTAAGTAAACGTGGTATATTAATTTACCCTTTCCAGTACTTTTCAACACACTTAAGGATTGCTTTAGAGTACTTCTAATTCCAGGCTACACAAGAAGGGAAGTGATTTTTAGTATAGTTCTAAGTAATATATAGGAGTTTGTTCAGAAAGTAATCCTGGTTAAGCCAAAAAGTAATACTGCCCATGGTGACCCAAATCTTGCCTAATATAGCCATGCACACAGGATACCCTAAATACTTGCTTCTCTATGCAAGCACAAGTTGCACTCAGCAGCCTGGACAACCCCATTCCTCACTCTCCATGCTCAGAATTTTTTTTAGGAAGAGCTGGTTCCTTATAAGAAAAATGTGAGGAAACTTGGCAGGTTGGAGAAAAGAATGGATAGGTCAATCATGAAGCCAGGAAGGATGCCCATCTGAATGAATAAAAGCCCACCTCCAGCTAAACTTAAAGGTGAAGTGGAAGGTAGGAAGAGTTTATCTAAGAAATGGACAAAGCTATGGCATCACCTTCAATTATGCATGTTTGCCTTCTAATGATCAAGGCAGCACACTGTATTGGCCTCCTGCTGAACACCCAGCTGTTGAAAAGACCCACATAACACAGGAGCCAGAACTCCTTTTTATATATTTGGATTGCCAGGTTGCCTTCTGGTCCTGGCCTATCCATGGTGCACCATGGATTCAGCAATTCCACGCACTGATACTGCAAGGTTCTACAACTGATCGTGAAAATAATGGTCATAAGAAAGCTCCAGCTGGCTCAAGATGTAGTGCCCCGCTTGCCAGCTACTACAAGCCAACAGTAAAATTTGCCTCTAATTCTATGCTAGTTCTTTGTTCAATACCAGATTAATTCCAATATTGGGTTAGCTGCTAATGTATACCACACTCAGTGGACTAGGCCCTAGCAGTTTGGGATGAGGTAACTCAATAGCAAGAGTTGTATTCATCAGGAATCTGGCAGCAGACAGAGTCTCATGTGTAGTTTTGAGTGCCATAGATAATGTTTTGTGATTGGCATGCCCTCTGCTGAAGAATTCCTGTCCATAAATCTGACGTGTCCTATGTAGTACTGCATTGGATGCACTTCTCAGTGAAAGCTTTCCTACACAGTAATACCCTGTATGTAAGCTGGGAACTCTTCCCTGAAAATAAACAAGAGAGCTAACACACATTTAGCAGCCCAATCCTGGATATATTGAAGTGCATTAATGTATTTTTTTACTTCAGTCTTCCCAAATAAGAGCAGCTACCAGATGACAAGTGCAGTTGGCAAAAAAGATAGGGAAGGACACAAATAACTTAGAGTAGTGGAAGAACAGGTTAGGGATTGCTCAGAGAAGCTATATGCATTCAAGTCAGCAGGGCCAGACGGACTGCCCCCAAGGGGACTGAAGGAATTGGCTGAGGTAATTTCAGAGCCATTAGCTATCCTCTGAGAACTTTTGGAGGCCAGGCGAGGTCCCAGATGACTGGAAAAGGGCAAACAGAGTGCCCATTTTTAAAAAAAGGAAAGAAGGGATCCAAGAAATTATGGCCAGTCAGCCTGGAAGGCTTTTGACACTGGTCTCCCATGACATTCTCATTAACAAGGTAAGAAAATACAGACTAGGTGAAAGTAATATAAGGTGAATACATAACTGGTTTGATCTTTGTTCACTACAGGTAGTCATTAATGGCTCAATGTCTAGCTGGGAAGAGGTATCAAGGGAGGTTTCCCAGGGGTCTGTCCTGGGACCAATACTGTTTATTATCTTCATGAATGATTTGGATGATGGAATTCAGTATACGCTTAGCAAAACTGTGGATAACACCAAGTTGGATAGAATTGCAGACACCCTGGAGGGCAGAGCTAGGATCCAGAATGTCCTGGATTGACTGTGGACCATTTTTCCACTCTATCGGATGATAGTCAACAAAGACAAGTGCAAAGGTCATGTACATGGGACAGAATAACTGCATGAATAAATACAGGCTGGGGAATGCCTGGCAAGACTGCAGTACTTCAAAGAAGGACCTGGGAGTTACAGTGGACCATAAACTAAATATGTGCCAACAGTGTGCTCTTGTGAAAAAAGCCAACAGCATACTGGGTTGTATTAATAGGAACATCACTTGTAAATCAAGGGAAGTGATTCTCCTAGTCTATTCAGCACTGGAGAGGCCTCACTTGGAGTACCATGTCCAGTTTTGGGCCCCACACTTCAAGGAGGATGCGGACCATTTGGAAAGAGTCCACCACAAGCAACAAAAGGCCTGGGATTGGGGCCTGGGAGACAAGATTTATGAGGAAAGTCTGAAAAAATAGGGTTATTTAGTCTAGAGAAGAGAAGACTGAAGGTGGATTTGATAAGTCTACAAATACATGAAGTGTGTTTATAGAGAAGATGAAGATGGGCTTTTCTCTCTGGGCATGTGGGACAGAACTAGGAACAATGGCCTTAAGCTACAACAGAGCAAATTTAGGTTGGAGATTAAGAGGAACTTTCTGACTATGTGGGTGATCAAGCATTGGAATAGACTACCCAGAGAAACTGTGGAATCTCCAGCCTTGGAAGTTTCCAAGAAAAAGTTGGACAGACACTCAGCTGGGATGGTTTAGTCAGGGATCCTCCTGTTTTGAGCAGGGGTCTGAACTAGTTGACCATGTGAGGTCCTTTCCAGCCCTACTTTCCTATGGCCCTAAGTTCAAATGAAGCTTTCAATTAGCTTCACTGGGAGCAGGGTCAAGAACTTAACAAAATACAAAGCAGAAGTGAAGAATCAAGTGACATTCTGAAAGATTTGTGAAATTGTGCTGCCATGACATGACTATGACAGGTGCACTAGTGATTAATAGACTAGCTAATTTCAGATTACAGGTTAGCTTTATTGAGATGATTGATAATTTTATAAACTGAAGTGTTATTTAAAAGACGGCAGT